AAAAATCCTGGAACTTCTGGACTGAACTCAGCTGAACTGCAGGTTGTGCAAACAAAGAACAGACAGGAGATAAGCAGGAAAACAAATTAAAAAATGAAGATAGTTAGAATATCTATAGTAAATTGAGCCTACATTCTTTGCCAAAAAGGTCGTTTTTTGTAGTCAGAACAAAAACCAGCTCCCCGCTTTCACACAGAAGACAGAACTTAAAACAGGTCCGGTTGTGAAAGTGTAGTGTGTGCAAGGGAATCGGGGATCTGTTGAAATTGGGGCTGCAACTAACAATTCTTTCCCTCACCAATTTTCTGTTGATTATTTTCAACCTACGGGTTGATAAAATGTCAGAAAAATGGCTAAAAATAACATCCAGTGTTTGCCAAAGCCCAGAGGAACATCCTCAAAATGTCTGATTTTGTCCACAATCCAAAAATATTTCATTTACTGTCATAGAGGAGCAAGAAAAACAAAAGGTATTCAATTTTAAGAAGCTGGAATCAGAGTGTTTTTTTTTTTCTCTTTAACACAAATGACCTATAGGTTGATGATGAAAATAGTCAATAAACAGTCACTGCAGCTCTACTGGGAACTTTTTGCCCCGAACTCCAAATCAATACATTCCTGTAAAATCAAATATGACACGTTAGAGTGCCTAACCTTATTTAAAGATTAATATATTACTTGGAATTTTCCACCAAGTTCAGACTATAAAAGTGTTTAGTAAGTAGGCAGCACCGGTTGGGCACCAAAATGAAGTGAAAGTTCTGTTGAGTGAGTCAAAGTGGGAGGCTTTGTTTCCTCGATTGCGCTCCTTTATCTTCGCGTTAAAAGCGTTTGTAAAGGTGCTCCTGTCGGCTGAAGTTTGCTGAGTGTGGTTTTTAACAGTTTGGATATAAAACTCATCCAGCTTTTTAGGATCCACTCCAAAACCATTTGACAGGCCAGTGACACTGCTAAGAGGCTGCATAATGGAACACTTGGCAGGCAGCAGGCAGGCCTGAGAGATGAGCCGAGGGTGAGGCGAGGGTGAGGCGAGGGTGAGGCGGGTGAGGCGGGAGAGGGTTCCAGCTTCCCTCTCTAATTGTTTCATCACAGCTCACCCACGCACATGTGCAGACGCCGGCTCGTCGCCTTCATCCCGCCCACCGCTGCTCGAACAGAGAAAAGGCAGCCTGCTGCAGAATCGACCGTGATCGCTAAAGATAACCCATGAATACAAATTACACAGGAAATCCAATTCCAGATTCCCACAGAAATTCTCACAAACTGAGGAGATGATGCGATCCGTCCCTCTGCGACGCCTTAATGAAGCGTTTGGCCCGAGACTGTTCCCTGAGTGGGCTGACAGCAGCAGAATAAGGACTCTGCATGACTCCCTGCTGAGTGTGTGTTTGAATAGAAGCGTGATCATTAAGCATCTGTGTGTTTTGTTGTTGTAATTGTTGGCTTGGCTTTGACGCTCCTCTCTTCCCCCTAATGCTTCTGTAAGCTTGGCCATTGTGTAAGTACAAGTGTGCTTATTTTTGATCATTAACACGTCATTTTCCCTTTATTTTCATTTGTTTTGCCAGATCATTTATTTTCTTGTTGATTCTCAGTGGGATCCATTTTTTCATTAGCATGTGAAATGAAAAGCTGCTGCTGTTATTTTAGATAGTGTGTCATTTTTCCATTACCTCATCAATCATTTAAATGTAGTTGTGTATGCAGAAAGTGAATGCATGTTTGACTGGCGGAATCTCATACAAATGTTCATAGATGCACCCAGACATAAAGATATAGCAACATACTTGTTGATATCCTTCAGTTATAGTCCAGGATCTTCTAGGAGGTGTCTCATTCCTGCACTGCTGCAGCAGGAAATTAACAGATTAGTATTTAAATTGAAGCTCAGTGTCTTCTTTCTTTCCAGCTGCGCTCTGGAGGTTCTCAGATCCTTGAAGGTTGCATTGCTGAGATCCCAAACATCTCCAGCCTGGATATCTCTGATAATGGTGAGACAGTAGCAGTAAACTCTACATTTACGAGGTGTGTCAGAAAAAGTTCCAGGACTGGTGTCACAAAAGATATATTTCAAATCCAAACTACAAATTTTCCCCTTTCAAGTAATCCTCCTGGAGTCTAAGGCACGTTCCCAGCCTTCTCTGCCACGCCCCCATGTACTCCTGGAAGAACTCTTCCGGGATCCTCTGCAGCTCTGTTGTCACAGCCATCTTGATGTTGTTCACGTCTTCAAAACAGGTCCCCTTGATGACCCCCTTGAGCTCAGGGGAGAGGGAAAGAATCCCACGGAGCCAGGTGGGGTGAGTAGGGAGGTTGCTCCAGCACAGCGATGTTCTTCTCAGCCAGGAACTGTGGGATGCTCAGAGCATTGTGAGCAGGCGCGTTGTCATGGTGAAGCAGCCACGACTTGTCCTGCCACAACTCTCGCCTCTTCTCGCGCACTGAATGAAGCAAACACCGCAGGATCTCATTCTAGACGTGCTGGTTGATCATCTGAATGGGAAAACTGGTAGTTTGTAGCTTGGGTTTGAAATCTATCTTTTGTGACACCAGTCCTGGAACCTTTCTGACACACCTCGTACTAACTAACCTACCAACATCAGTGAAGTCAGTTAGTCTTATGTTCCTCTTCTTGCAGGACTGGACTCGGATCTGTCCACTCTGCTGGTTTGGTTGGCGAAGAATCGCTCCATCAGACACCTGTCTCTGGGCAAGAACTTCAACAACATCAAGTCCAAGTAAGAATGCAGCTCAGGAGGAGAGCAGTTGAGCTGGAGTGTACAGAATGAGACAAGACATCGCAGTGGACGGATGTCGCACGGGGTTTCTGGAGAATTTAGAGCTTCCTACTGTGTCGGGGCTCGTTGTGGAAAACTTGTACAGATCAAAGCAACTCCAAAGTCTTGCAGTGACTACTTAAGTTGGAGATCGTATAGTGATGGAGAATCTACTCATACAGTTCCTCTACAAAACAAGAATTTGCTGTTTTTAATCATTGATTTTCCTGCTTTATGTGCATGTGGTGTGCACTGGTCACAAATATATGAAGAGGGTTTGTGTGTACCTTTGCAGACTTGGGTGGATCACAAAATTTACATCACATGTACCCTTGTAGACATTTGCAGATGCAGAAAGCATAACTCAGCCTTTACTAGGCTGAAACATCAGCAATACATTCAAGCAATATAGGTTTGGTTGGTTTTTAATAACTCAAGCACTGATCCTGGAATCCTGACTTAAACATTTCTTGGATCCTTCTACAAAATGTCAGTAGTTTGAGAACAGGAACTTCTAAAACAAACAAAGAAAAGTGTAATTTTAGATCATGTATGTACGTTCATTTCCTGACTTCTCGTCTCTCTTCTTGTTGCCTCAGAAACCTCGCTCCAGTGTTGGACAGCCTGGTTCACATGATTCAAGAGGAGGAGTCGGTGAGTTATCAATTCTCCGCTGGTGAATGGTGAACTTCTATCAGACAGATATCTCAGGTTCAAATCGTGTTTCAGCATCCTGGCTGCGAAAGTAAATCAGTGAATCTCACCAGCTGCTCCACGGCTGACCTCTGACCTCAGCAGCAGAGCTTTGTGTTAATAGAATTCACTGATCAATAAACAGTCAAGTGAAACCATTCCAGTGCAGCGTGGAAATGACTTCCAGCCCAACTATGTAAACTGATGTGTCCAGTTACCTCACTACTGTTTCTCCTCATCACCATCTCTACTGAGAATTCAAGAATAACTTGGCACTTTAGCCTCAGTCAGTCTTATCATTTTATCTGTCCCTCCATCGGGGAAGCTGTAACACATTTAGCCCCGGTGCTGCCCCGGTGCTGTCCTGTTTATTCCCCACAGTGCTGGATGTGCCAGATTGATGATACTGTTGAGCTGCTCTGGGCTGGATTTGGTCTCTTGGTGCTTTTTTCTGTATGTGCAGCTGGTTATCTGGCTGAGCAGGTGGAATACAAAGAAAGGAGGCAGACACCTAATGGATGTGTGGTAGAACAGACATATGAAGGGGTTGAAGGTGGACAGAAAGGAATAAATAAACTGAGGCGGCACAGAATGAAGTGTGGTTTGATTAAAGGAGCTGTGCTGCTTTGACCTGTGTGTGCATGTTTTGCTGTGTGTGACAGATGAGTAAAGGCATGTAGAGATAACAAGTTTCAAATTTATTCAGCGGTGCAGCCTTTCTCCTGTTGCAATGTGTAGCCAGAGAAAACACACACAGATGCACACACTGTTGTTGTGTTTGTGTTGTCAGACGTGGGATGTTTCTGGCCATGCTTCCCTGATGAGAAGGTAGACATCTGCCTCATTAAAGCAATTTTGGAATTCACCGCCAGCAAAGTTTGAGAAGACGGTTGATACTTTATACTCTGTGTGCTGAATGAAAGCGTTCGCCTGCAGCTGCTCGGCTTAACTCAGTGTGACGACAAGAAACTTCCTGGTTTCTGTGCTTCATATTTAGTGTACAAACATCAAAGTGGCATCAATTTCTCTTTTCCAAAAAAACACTGAACTGTTTTTGTTTGTTTGTTTGTTTGTTTTTTAACCAAAAGAATGAAAACCCTTAAAATAAAATTCAGAATTTGCAGGCTTCAGATCAAAATGAAATCAGGTTATAAGATGAGACAATATGTTCATCACCACATTTATTTTAATTTGCACATCTAGTCTAATTATTGATATTAACCTCTCAAGCAAATTGACTTAACATCTTTTTCTATTTGTGAAAGTAGTTTCCAGCCATAAGAAACCTCTTCAAATCTAATAAAAAATCACCATAAGTCTAAATTTGCTATGGGTATAAATAATTTGGGCCTATTCCTTATATTTCTCCTCCTTATACAAACTACAATGTCTGCAGAATCGGACAGAAAAATCACTGTACAGTCCCAGTGTGTCCAGTGTGACAATAATCATTCTATAGTGTTTGGGAGAGAATAATAATTACTCCCTTCCCCTTATAGTTTTGATAGGATTCCATGATGCTTAACACGCTCTGCAGAATTTTTCAATTTCATCTCGGTATTAAACACCATTCATCATTTTAATGGACACACATTAAATAGGTAATTTGTCTTTGACGCAAGGTCACTTTTATTTGCATGTCGTGGGTTTCACTGGGTGGGTTTTATTAAACAGGACAAAGCCAGAGTAATTATTTCTTGATTTCAGTGATTAATAAAGACTAAGAATCTCTGCTCCTCCTGTAGCTGTTACAAGTCATTTTCTTCAGCTGCATGGAAGCATGGTGCTTGCAATTACTTCTGTAAGCATAACATATTGTATACTCCCTTTCATGTACAACATTCATTGGTGTTATTGGTGTGGTATTTTGTTGTGCTCAGAGAACAGATTTTATTGTGGAAACTCTGTGACTGGGATCCTGAACAATGAGCTGCTGTGGATACGGCTGCATAATCTTGTACCTGTTTATGTTTGTATGCTTAATTTCTGAGCCTCACAGGAGCTCACAGGGTGTAAATAATTCTCCTCAGATGAGACATGAAGTAATTTTCTGGCTTTACGACCACGTTGACTCTCTATTTTCACTTACTGCAATTTATGGTCACTGCATCGGAGGTTATCCTGTGAATATCCATTTCTTTATCGCTCCTTTTCAAAAACAAAACTTGTATTAGAAAGATAAATGCTTGACATCAGAACATATGCATTCATCACTGTGCTGCTTCTGCTCACTTTGTAATAAGTCGAACACACCCGCTGAGGTTAAAGAGGTTTCGTGTATTTCTGTGTGCTTTTGCGGCTGTATCTACTATTAGAGCATGACTGTGTAAATCCATGTGGAGGCGAAAGTCTCCCACTCACAATCATATTTAGATCTTGTCTTGTGGCGGGGTGGCACACAGGAAGCATTTTTTTTTTTCCGTCGTAGTTGACACAAGATGAAGTTTAGTCACATTTTTTTCTTGCATGATTTTGTGTTTTGGTGGTAGCTGCAATTTCACCAACAACAGATAGTCTCTTCTGTATTGGTGTTGCTGCTCATTGATTTGATACCAATTAATGATGGAAATTACATCGACTGAACTTAAGGGTGCCATCTGCCTTTAAATTTTTAGTTCAAAGCACCACAAAGATGATTCATTTTACTGCGGCTGTATAACTCCTGGTTTTAGCCGGGTTTTAAATGAGCAGTTTTAATGTCTGTAGCTTTAAATACAGTTCAGCTCTACTGTTGTTGACGCCCCCTTCAGGAAGAAGACTCTCTGCACCTGTGATGGACAGATCTGAGCAGTACAGTTGAATGCACGGCAGCTGACAGAGATGAGAATAAGTGTGTGAAAGCAGACCTTTTTTTTTTATTACTTATGTTAAGTTTGTTAGATATTGTTCTGGTTACAAAATCATTTCCCGCAATTTCTGATTGTACAGAGCTCTGGCCTATGGACAGAAGATCAAAGCTAACAGCAACCGTAACCACAATGGTGACATTGCTATCAATAATAAAAAATAATCTTCAGTTCCTCCGATGCTGGGAGTGCATGAAGACTGTTGTGTTCACTCTTGACATTTTGGAGTTAGCAGAAGCAGCTGTAGAAAGTAAATAAACCTGGTGGACTGAGAGGCAGCTGCTCATTCTGGATGGTTCACCTGGAAGAAGCAGGCAGTGACTGGAAAGATTCAGCAAGTTTTGAGCTGTATTACCATTAGTTACCCAGTTTCTACGTAGAAACTGGATCAAATTCTTACCAGAATGTACGCTAGGAGGTTATCTAGTTGAAGGGGAGCTTGAGAAATGGCCTGATTATCATTTTAATATTTTTCTAGCTTTTATTTTATACCTTTAAGTTTAGAAGACAAACAAAACACAATAAAAATGTATTTTTAACCATATATGACATTTAACTACAATTCTTAGTTACTAGTACTGACTTAGGGAAATACTGTTCTTTATAAATTTTAAAATTTGTAAAATACACTGTAGACTTATGCAGAGAAAACAACTACCCAACAGCATATAAAATACATTTTCTTATAAAACTTTTGAATGCAGTATTTTGAATCATGTTTGTCTCCAAAATATGAAGATATCTTCCACCACTGCGTTGCAGCTGTGTTGTAGCACACACATGAAAGAGGTCACTGAGTTTTTCTTTCTTTTTTTTTTTAAGCTGTTAAGTGGCTGAGTCTACGCACCTATATTGTTGCTGTGATGTCCGCAAAAGGTTAAACAAATGATAAATGCATGCTGGAGCGTGTCGGCTGGCAGATACAGAAATGATCACAGGAGTCTCCAGCTGTGTAAATGCATCACAGAGCTGCTTAAATCATGTGAACAGACGGACACTGCTGGGGATTTATGAAGCCTCGTATCTCTCTCACATCACAGAGGAAAAATGCTGAACGTTTCATGTCATTTCACTGCCCTGTGGAGTTCTGATATGATAAGCCTTTATTAATCCCACAGCGGGGAAATTTGCATTGCTACAGATGCAAAGGGGATAGTACAAACATTTAAGAAATAGAAGTAGAAAAATAAAGACAAACAAAAACAATACATACAAGTACTAGTTCAGATTGTCCAAATTCCTTCTTTCCATTTTTTCATGAGTGGAAATACTGATAGAGAAGCATTAATACGGCACAGATTCATCTGTAAGTAGAAAAATAACTCAACTGCACAGATTCTTATATATGTATAAAAATGCATGTGAATAATGTACAAAATATTAATATTTCACAGCTTTAAATGTGTTGATATAGCACCAAAAATAAGTATATGGTTTAGAGAAATCCTCACACTTAATTCTCTGATAAATATGGGTTTTAGAATTTAAGTCACTTACCCTTGCAAAAGCATTGTTAATTATTGGTTTAATTTCAGTATTTGATATTACAGGAAGTCCTCTAGATTCATAATAACAATCATCTAGTTAAAACTGTAGTCATTAAATGATCCTAACGGTATTCAAATATGTAGAAAGACAACTTTCCGCCCCCCTGCTTTTATTGATTTCAAGAAGCTTCATAGACTTTTTGAAATGGTGTCAAAGTTGCTGTGAGCTTTTACTTCCTTCAGTGCCAAATATCGCAGGGTGGCTGAAGGAAACAAACAGAGTCAGTATTAACGCTGATAAACAGAAGACACAGAAACCGGCATTCACAGACAGTGACGGACACTCTGAGCGGAAAACAAGCTGCTGCTGCCAAAAGGAATATTGATGGGCTCAGTGATATAATGTACAAAAGCTTTTGTTGAAGTTGGCAGTGATTTACAATGAGGTCCATAAAAGATCCCATTCAATGCCTGCTGGTGCTGCCAAAACTGAATAAACACAAGTGGAGGGCAGCACATCAGGAGATGTTCTGCTTCTTACAAAACTGTATCTCTAACAGTCATAATATAATAATAATAATAATTAAAGCCGCAAGCGGCATTTGACGGGTCCTCGCCCTACGCTTGTCGGCCTTCACGCACGTCGGGTTGTGGCGCAAACGCGTGTCTTTGTCGGGAATAATAATAATAACAATCGCTGCAGTGCGACTGAGACAGTTGGTATTTGGCGCCAATTTGCTCTTTTGTGCGTCCGGACCTGCTACACACGCCCACCGAATCTTGTAGGTGTAGACGAAACTGCCTTCCGACTGCATCCCATTGAATGTGGAAAACACCAAAAAAGTGGGCAAAATGGCCATTGATCAATGTTGGACGGGCCGCCATTTCCAAACCAGGCCTCATCTGCGGAGCGTTTTGATA